CCCGACTGCTGCACCCTTGGGTGAAGGGGAAGATGCTGAGGGGCAAAGAGTTGGGAGGGAAGGAGGAGATGTTCCTGCAAGGCAGAAGCTGCATGAAGAGCCAGGAGCGCTGCACGCCCAGGTATGGTGCCTGGGCAGCCCTGGCTCCCCCACCCCAGGCAGTAGACACTGCAAAGCCAAAACACCCACGTCACTGTCCTGGATCTAGAGCTGCAGAGGCTTAAACCCCCACAGCCACTGTTATTTCCTCCCTAATTTCAGGTGTGGGGTACCCAAGGATGTCAACAGTTTGTGGTTTGGGTGGGAAGGGGGAGCAGAAAGGGCAGCTGCTTCCTTGCTAGTGCCCACCAGCCTGTGGCACAGCAGCCTGCACAATTCCTCACCAAGAGCTGGAGCAACCCTTCCTGGAAGACCAAATGGCCCAGTATGGTCTATAAGAGGATGCTGTCCACAAGAAGATGTTTCTGGCACGAAGATTTTCTCCAGTAATACCCATTACTTGGTATTGGGGTGGGTGGCGAGAAGGGTGGCAATGGGGACACTGCCACCAGGGCTGGCTGGGGCTCACCCATGGGGCTGCTCCAGGCAGCTCTGTGCCAGTGCCCTGCTGTGCTTCACAGCTTTTAGCCCTTCAGTCCTGCTCAACAGGAAGCTTGATGTCTCAAAGAGGATTAACTTCCTAATCCTCTTGTGAGTCTTGTGGGAGTGGGAGGCTGCAGAGGAGGAACAGGAAGAAGCCAAGGTATCAGCTCAGCCCTTATCAGACGCTAGAGAACCTTCTGCATAGAATCAGAGAATCATGGAATGTTTTGGGTTGGAAGGACTTTAAAGCTCATCCAGTTCCAACCCCCTGCCACAGGCAGGGACACCTTTCACTAGACCAGATTGTTTCAAGCCCCATTCAGCTTGGCCTTGGGATTAGCTCCATGGGCTAGCTAACCGGCAGCAGGAGTTCTGGGGTGCCCATGACTCCCCATAGGACAGTGCCAGGGCAGTTATAGGGACAAGAGTAGTTACAGCTTTCCTTCCTGGAGGGATTTCTGTGTTGCCTGAAGAGGAGCTGAATTCCTGCTCTCACTGTCATGTAACTGGGTTTAGGAAGTCCCAGCCCCAGTCCCTGCCTGCACTGCGAGGGATCAGGCTCCGAGAGCACTGTCCCCTAGTGTCTCCCACAAGCCTCTGTGTGTTCCCAGCTGGGAACTGTGGGCACTCTGGGGACAGTGGGGGAGTGCAGCGGGAATAAGGGATCAGCTTGGGTTGGAGATCATGTTTTCTGTGGGTGGCTGAGCAGTGAATCCTCTGGCTTCCCAGTGACAGCTCTCACAATCCTGGGATACTGCTTCCTGTCACAGTCACACACAGACACACACACACACATACGCACACACATACATACACACACAGAGACACAGACACAGACACAGACACACGCATAGATACACAGAGTTCGTCGCAATTTGGTAATTGGTGACAATCATCCCCCCGTTGTTCAGACAGACGGAGCCGCCTGGTGTCTGCTCAAAGACATGACAAGCCTGTGGCCAGCCGGTCAGACACCCGACAGCTGGAGACCCCACAGTTGGACACCCAAGAGCTGGACACCCAACAATCGGACACTCAGCAGTTGGACACCCGCCTGCTTCAATCCCATGGCTATGCACTTCTGCTCCCAGCAAAAAATACGACCCCTCGGCAAAATCTCCCCATGCTGACAGCAATCCAGAGCCCTGGAGTGCTCCGGCGTCCAGCGTGGAGCTGAGCTACAGGAGGGTTTCACACTATGACCATTAACATTCCAGTGACCACTGTGGCCATCTGTGTCCCCCTGACCCTCTCCCCAGCCACAGAGGTGTGCTCTAGACAGGGTTTCCCACAAGTCTGTGACACAGTAGCAATGGCATCAGCTTGTCCCATGGGATGTCCCGCTGGCTCCCTGCACACACGCACAGTGCCAGGCAGGTGCTGTGTCTGTCTCAGCAAAGACACAGGGCCCTGTGGACTCTCAAGCAAGAGCTGCTGTCCCTGGGCCAGGGGAGGAAAAGCCATGAGGGGAGAAGTTCACCACTAATGCCTGCAAATAACATGCTCCAGGAAAGCCTGAAATGGAC